GGATTGTTTGTTAGAGACACCAGAGTTCAGATTCTGTTCGATTATGATTGATTTCTCTTTTTTTTGTTTAGATTTTCTTTTTTAGTTTTAAATTTTTTATTTTATTTCTTTGAAATTGGACTATAATTCATATATTTATTTAGAACTTTTTTTTTTTTTGAAAAAAAGAAACACAATTATTATCAAATACTCTTAAAAACCAAATAATTATCCATTATCCAGTATCCATTAGTAATATATTTAATCTTAGTTTTTCTTTTTTTTAAAAAAAAAAATATTAGAAAAACATTTTTTAATAATTATTTTGAACTTATAAAATGTATAATAGGTATTAAAATAATGTTAAGATAAAATAATGGATCATTAGTATTAATATTTGAAATTAGTTATTATTTTAGTAATGTTTTACGAAGCAACTATGTCAAATGAAAATATTACCGTTGTAAGATGGATTGGTCAGAGCTTCATATATTAAGTTTACAATGTCATCCAAGTGAATCCAGGAAAACCTGCAAAACCCACTTTAATATTAAATTAAACCGGGAATCAAAATTTTCTGGAAAAAGTAGAAAGCTAACTATCACAAACGAACAACCTAAAACATATATTTCATGGACTAATCGACAAAAAATGGGCCAAATTGTCTCCTTTTTTTTTTTTGTTTTAATCCGAAAAGTAGTTGAGAGGTTTGGGAATTTAGGAATTAAAGTTTTCAGGTGAATCTGTAATTTTTTTAAAATAATATGTATTATAAATGTTTGTCCATAAATGATTCTTTAAATATCTCTATTAGTATGAAGAATTTTGTGTTACAGGGCTTTTATAGATCATGATTTTGAGTGAAAGAATTTTAGTAGGCAAAACTCTAGTCTGAGTTCAATTTTTTAATAAATGAATTTTGGTAGGAATAAAAGTGAATTAATTTCTAAGTTTTTCGAGACATCACAACAATCATCATGGAGGTAAAATTTAAAATTACTAATATTTTGTCAGAGTGGTAAAAATGTCTTTCATTTCAACTCATCACATAATTGAGGCATAAAAAGAGAGAATATTTACCATTGTCGTCCTGACCCCAAAGGGCCTCCAGCAAACAGATTGAAGAGTGGGATCATTTTGGCTGCAAAGGCACAAAAAGATGAATATGATTCAAAAAATGATTGGTTGTCATATTTTAGTTCTACACTTCTATAAAAAGTCCTTTTTTTTTTGTTTGTGTTTGTAAAACCCTATGCATTCAATACAAAACTAATCGTGATCGAAAAACTAAGATTAAAAAAAAAAAAAAAGAATGGTTTAAAACGATTGTTTTTAAAAAGTACATGAACTAAAATAAACATTCTCTTTTATCCAAATATGGATGTTTAAGAAGTATAGATAATAAAATAGATAAAAGTTGAACCAAATAATTAAGAATGAATAATGAACATAATGAGGTTAAACTCCCATACCTAAAGCACCACCTTCTTTACCAAGAACAACACCTATACGAATAAGAGCCACTCTGACGTTCTTGTTTGCTCCCAGGGCTGTTGCTTCCCATTCCCTACAAACCTGGAAAATCAGTCATCAAACAACAGAAATGAAAGTTCACAAAATATTACACGAGCTTAGGATTGTATGAAAATTTTCAATATATGACGATTACGAAATCTTAATGCTCGTCAACAAACCGCTTCACACTAGACAATCATTGAGTGAATTAGAGGAGGATTAAGAGTTTGTTTAGAACGACTTTTTTAAGTGCAAAGAAGTGTTTTCAAATACTTAGGAAGTCATTTCAAACAATCTTAAGTTTTAAGTTTTACTAGCTCTATCGCGATTTAATTATTTTCCTGTTCGATTTCAAAGAAAAAAATTAAAAAATCCAACAATTCCTCTTCAATTACCTCAATCTAACAACTTTTCTCACCTCGGCCAAGTAGTCATTTCCGGATGGACTTCGTTCGTCAAATATTGCTGTTTCACTAGTGCCTGAGAGATATAGAATAGTTCTAAGTATAATTATGATTATGAATATGAGCTTCATAATTCTCACGTTGAGACTGAGAAAATAGGCAGCCTATAAGGAAAAGGATGAAAATTCACAACCGTTCGATTGAACTCTACTCAATCGTTGATAATTTTTTCTTTGAATATTCCTATATTTCTAAGCTAATCTAGATATTGACATATGTTCTTTCAGATATATAACACATACCATAGTAACCAATAGCTGTTGCGCTAACCAAAACTGTCGGGCGAGCTACGTCGGGGGCATCGTTAATTAAGCTCACAACCTTCACATTAGTTAAGTATTAAATATTGGTATATATCAGATTTGGCTTCTGTAAAAGCTAGAAAGGGAAGAAGTCTCTTAAACTGTTTGCAAAAACTCTATAGTTAGCGGGACAAGTTTTTACCTTTGAGGTGACTCTGATCCTGCTTTGCTTGATCTCTTTCTTGATCTATA